TCGCCACTTACATCTAATAATTCAACAATTTGTTTATTAATTTCGTCTACATCGACATTTCTTGCAGAGAGTATCGCTCTTTTAGCTATTTTATCAAATTCTTTTTTACGATTTACATCGCCATATATATCTGCTACAATATCTGAATCAATTAGTGCTACACAACAGACACATTCAGAAACTTCCATATTATCTTCAGAATCATTTAATATCCCATTACCCATATCCAATAGAAATTTTACAAATTTAATTTTTTCTGGAAAAACTCGCATATTTTGCGTTAAAGAAAAATTTTAAAAATATTTTCAAGTACAGCTAAACTTAATAGAAAGATTCACTATTTCACTTCGAGTACTTCGTATCTTGATCGGAAGAAGTTATCTAAAATCACCGCCTAATACGATAATTTTTCCACCAAAAGATAAATCGCTATTCATACCTAATATCACGCAACGTTCGATCTACTATTTCTAAAGCGTATCGAGGTGCCATAGGCGCTTCATCCCAAATAAAAAAATTTATATTTCTTTTAAATATTTAGCTTCTTTTGATTGAATTTTAATAACGGATGACGAATCATTAAGTAACGAAACTGGCAACTCAAATGTTTTATGAACTGGTTTTTCCTTCAAGAAGTAATGTTGCTGCAATCCCTGTAAAAGCCATAGTACATACACGTTTACTTCTAATTTTGGTTAAATAATAAATAGTTGTATGTACAAACGTTTTACCCGTTCCACCAGGACCATCAATATAAAAGTAATTTCTATTATTATTATCATCTAATCTGTTTAACACGGTATCAACTATTTCTTTTTGCTCATTATTTAATTGACTATACTGTTTTGTACCAATTTCTGTAATTTGATCAAGTGTTATATAATCTTTCTCTTCAACATTGTCTATCAATTGTTCCATTTGTGGAAAGTCAGTAAGACTTTTACCTTCACCGCGAAGCATAGCGTTAATTGTAATATATGCTTTTCTTTGTCCTTGTAATAATATACCAATATGTCGCGAGTAATCTTCCGACATCGCTATTTTAAATCTTTCCTAAAGTGCTTCTGGATATAATGGTTGACAATGTAGTAAAATTCGTACAAATAATCTACGAAGTTGTCGTGGCATTATCCACTTAACAGCTTCATTCATAGCTCGTATCCATTCATCATCATCTTCAATCAAACCTAAAATTATACATGTAGCTGTAAATGTTTGATAATTTTGCCCATTAATAGTCCTTAGATCTTCAAAACTTATAGCTCCCTTAACAGTGAGTAACAATAATCGTAAATAAAATAATTCTATTTGAGTTAGACTAATGGAATACATTCGTCCTACACAATTAATGACTACTACGTTTAACCCAATGTGAAACATTTCGACCATTAACTTTTTTTTTTTAAATGTATAATGACATGGAATTTCTGTATATAAATAATTTTTTGCTTCACTATCACGCAAATTTGGTGCAAAATAGTCTATTAACATAGTAACTTGATTTAAAGCAGAAGAAATTGCATCTTCATTGCATTCATTTTCAATAGTTATGTTTTGTTCATTAGGTAAGTGAACAGGCAAACGTATTACACAGCATGACTTTTATCTTGTAATTTTTTTTTCAAGAGTACGCCAGCTCGTTTCTACTGGTCCTACATAATGAGCTTCGATATAATTGTGTATCTCATTATGATCTAAATAAAACTATGGGAGCTTTCCAGCAAGTGACACAAGCCGACACAAACGTCGTTCTACCTTTCTTTTTTGGCAATGAGTAACAAAGACAAAACGATACCTGTGTCGACTTGTGTCGCTTGCTGGAAAACTCCATATTATTTTCTGTCACTGGTTCAATTGTTATAGCAGTAGCGTCATGACCTTTATAAAAATATACTTATAAAGATATTTAACTGATTTAATACTTGAAACTATCTCGACATTTATATGACAATTAAATAAAATTGATAATTTAGGACAATATGGAACAACATGACGATTATTAACTATATATCCACCAGGACGTTCAAAAGTATTACCAACATCTCGTCTACGATAATAAGGACAAGCATCTTCATCCATCCTAGTTTCTTCGAGAAATAATTTGGGATAATGTTTTGAACATTTACCATTAACCAAACACCAGTCACCACAAGGTCCATGAATCATATGTCTCATAATTATATCATGCAATACACGGTTTTTATTTAGATCAGGAATTTCAGCAGAAATATATTTATCTACAATTTGAGGAGTTGTTATTTTAAAATTCTGCTTTAGAGTAATTAATATATGAACATGAGGTAAACCACGTTTTTGAAATTCAATAATGTATACAAATGCTGCTATCTCACCAAAAAATTTTTGCTTAACGATTAAGTCGATTAAATAATCCTTCTTAATATTAAAAACTCGAGCACAAATATCAGGTCTATCAAAAGGTTGTTGACCAGGAAGAAGATTTTCTTCGATCTCACACCATTTCGGATTACATGTCATCGTGATAAAAAGATCAGGTTTACCAAATTTATTTACAATTGACATTGCATTTTGATAATTTTGTAACATATTACGTGGAGATTCAATAAACGTAGAAGAAAGTATAACCATTTTTCCCACACGACCATTTACATTATTTGCCATATTTTGCATATAATCTACTAAACCCTGATATGTTTCAACACGTAATTCTTTTTGATGAGCTTTATAATAATCTATTCTATCCTTTTCAATTTTTACATAATTATCTACAAGCCATTATGTTGAAATAAACGACGTCCTAATAACAAAACATTAAATTCATTACGAACCGCCATACGATATTTAATATATTGTTCTCTAGTTATTCTTTTATTACTATTTAATTTCATTAAATTACGATGCCATCCTTCTAGTTCCATATGGATAAAATAATGGATATATTTAAGGTTCTATATTCGGATCCATAATATATATACTAACTTGTTGTAAAACTTTAGTATTTTTATTACGTATGGTAACGTAGGAATCAGGAATTTCTCCTTCAAAAGTTGTTTTAAAAATTGCGGCAACTTTATTTGTTCTTTGAGCATTATATCTATGTCGATTCATCCCTGGTTTTAATGTAAATAATAATTGTAACTCTGATGACAACTTACCAGACTCCATTTCTAATCGTTGTTGATTTTCTAACTCTTCAGCCATCATTTGATATGATTGTGCGAATATATCACATTTTTGCATTAAATTTTCAAGAATTGTTACAATATCAAGATCTAAATTTGAATTTTGATTAAGACGATGTTCTATTGCTTCATTTGAATCAACAATAAAAAGTTGTCCATAAGTCGGACTCTCATTTTGCGCAGCATGTATAATGCTGTGTTAACTTTATAATAAATTTGCCCTTGGATTTTAAAACAATACGAACCAGGACGTCTTTCTTGGAAATTAATTAAATTTGCATTAAATGATGCAAAAGAAAATAAACTATTATAACTACGAATACGATTAAAAAAATAATTGATTTTACATTACTACCATCAAATAAAGATCGAAGAAATTGAGGGATTTTAGGCAATGGTTCAAGATATACAATATTTTAATATTATAACGTACTATATAATATATAATACATAACATGTACAATAACACTATATTTTAACGAAAAAATTACTTAATGATAATGAAACAAATTATAACACTATAATAATTATAAAACTAATATAACACATTATTAATTATAAAACAAACTATAACACTAAATATCAATATTGTTATATATAATAAATAATTTCCGATATCTTGAACGCTTCTCTGGAGGTCTTCTGAACGTCTTCCTGAAACAAAAAACAATAACACTAAGAATTAATGTTTATAATAATAAAATAATAATAATAATATTTTTAATCAGTAATTGTAAATCTAAAGGAACTTTTATAATATATAAATATTAATGCAATTTTTCGAAAAGCTACCATTAATAATATTTTTACCTTTAATACCGTGGCACAGCACCTCGTTCTCATATTTCTCCAGCATATTTATAAATGCCGGATTGCCTCCTAAACGTTCAATTTCAATTTTAATTTTTTTGTTCAGTTCTTTTAATACATTTCTTGTGTATTTAAAAGAACCTAGTTTCTCTAACAACTCCACAAAATGATTTTTAAGATTGATGTCCGTAGTTCGTTGTTTTAGAATATCTATAGGCTTTATTAAGGATATATATTTAAATTTTATAAATTAAGATACAAATTTTTCGAACGTAAATGCGTATATCATGTTTTTTAAAGGATACTTCTTATTTGCCGGTCATCATCGTGTTTAATCGCATGTATAATAGGGAAACTGAATTTCCCTTCTGTCAAGTCATCACAATAATTTTTATCGTCCTGTGATAATAACAAATTCAGTTAGTTTACTTAATTAACCCTGGGATCGGGCACTCTGAATGATTCTTACACCTCAGTGTCGAGATGAATCTCACGTCACAGTAATTTTTTTTATCGTTCGAGAATCTATATCTACCTTTCATTCAAGAGGTTCCGAGACCCAATTCGCATAATAGAAAATTAATCAAATTAATAATAAAAATTAAACAAATTACTTACCTTACTAACACACAGATTACAATAGTCATTATGTATCTGGTGGTAATAGCCCATTAAATTTAAGACCGATGAAAAGTCTTTATCGCAAGATGAAAACAGTTTCATCAATTTTACGATTAACTTCACCAGCCAGCCAGCCTCTATAAAATTAATTAATATACGAATTTTATATATGTAATTTAATTTTTAAAATGGAGTTTCTGCTTCAGCAGATAATAAAAGTTATCGCAAAATCATAAATATTTACTTCTTATCGCATTTTTTTCATACTGGTCGTCAGTTGGACATATTGAATTGTTTCTCCAATATATATCTTTTTTTTGTCCTCTGTTAAATTCCACTAATTCTTCAGTTAAGATTTTAACTGCCTGTTAATTAAGATATAAAAATAGATAACTTAATTTATGTTCTATTTAACAAAATAATATATTGGCTCGATTTTGTTAAGCTTTGAATTAGTACTGATTGTAATCAATACAGTGTTGATCGTAAAGAAATATGTATACAGTTTTATACGTGGTTAATTGCAAACATGTCGTGAGATTTTTCAAAAATGTTATATCTTTTAAATACACACACACACACACACACACACACACACATCGTCTTTATTACTTGTAAAAGTTTTAAAATTATTTGAGGACAAACTTGTTAAAAAGCATTTAATGCTATAAATTTAATTATTTATGTTATAATATTGCAATTCTTGAAATATAGTAATGTGGATACTTTAAAAAATATGACATTCTTGAAAAGTCTAAATTCAATTCAATAATGAGGGATATTGAATTTACGAAAAGTATCTATTTCACATTTTTTGATTTATGTTTTGAATACTTACTTCGGGATGTAATTCAATTGCTTTTTCTAAAGCAATAGCCTGCATATAATTTGTGGTACTTATTGTATCACAAAGCCCATATACGGAATGGGTAACGGGAATGCCATCCCGCCAAATAGATCCATCTTGTATATCGTCGAATCTAAAAAATTAAAAGAATTTAGGCAAAACTTCCGAAAATGTCCGTGCTCAGATTTAGGTCAAACTTTGTGAATAGGTTCCTTTTAGATAAAAAACACATATACCAAAAGGATTTTTTGCGACTCCAAAGTATAGCAACTTTTTTAACATTTTTAACTAGTTTAAGTATTTAAGTATTTCTCTCGTTTTTCCGAGAAGAGACGAGAACGAGACGAGACGAGACGAGAAAAAACAAATGACAGATAATAATCTCGAAAATATTATCTTAACGAGACGAGAAATTCTGAGACGAGATTTCGAGATTCTCGTATCAAAATGCATCACTAGTCAAAACATATATTATTAATAATTAGAAAAAGAGAAACTGTAGTATAAGTAACAGAATAAAATTTAATTTTTTTGCAAAATATTATATTTTACTTTTTGTCGTGCGCACTTGATTTTAACATAAATAAATACAATATGCAAAAAGTAAATGTAACTATTATATTATCTACATGCATTTAAATTTATAAAATTAACAACGCACATATACATAAAAGCCGATGATGCTTTACAATAAAATGTAACTTACAAAATGCACACGTTGTAGACGATGCTTATTACGTCATTGATTTGACGCAGTTTATCAGCTGGTATCCTTAGCCAGTAATTAAACGCCACCGTTAAATTTTTGCATCTATTATTTTCCACTCTTTGGATGTATTTAAACGGCTCCAAAAGTTCCTATATGAATTGAACGGAGAATTAAAATATAAAATTACTAGCTGATGTCCCGAGCTTCGCCCGAGAGTCGTTTTTCTTTAAACTATTTCATTTATTTAGTAAAATATTCAAAAATGAGTATTATTATTAAAGAAATGTTGTTCATTAATACTTATTATTTCTCGAAAAATTTTAAGAATTTTAAAATTCTCTCAAAGAATTGTATATAAAACGGGGATAGAATTTTCCGGGGAGTGCTATAAAATGTATAATTTTTCGTTACCGATCTTTTTGAAAGCCGGTATTAGAAATTTTTCCAATTTTTCGGGAATTAATTAACCGAATCGCAAAGAATTGTATATGAAGTAGGGGTAGAATTTTAGAATTTTACGGGAAGCGCTGTAAAGTGTATGATGTGTATAGCTTTTCGTTACCGATCATATAGCGTTTTTCACTGGGAAAACTAGTGCGCACTAAGTGCGCACTCGCCGCAGGCAACGTGTTTCACTGGGCGTTTCGATGCGCGCGAAAATGGTGCGCGCTGTTTCACTGGGAAGTCTAGTGCCGAGTTTTTGCACTATAGTGCGAGAATTCGGCACGAGCTCCAAGAGACGGTGTCAGTTCAGTGCAACATGGCTGCGTGGGATGGTGACAATGTTTCAAATTCACGAGATGCACGATTAGCATTTGGACTATTAAATTTGCTTTCTTCGTCATCATCCAGTATTGATAAAGATGATTTATTATTAAAAGAAAATCCGCGGAAAATTCCAAAGATCGAAAACTTTGTTCAAATAATGCATAATCTTATAATAAGTATGTAAGTACATATATATTTATTGTTTCTGCAGATTATTGTATTACGTGAAACAATACCCTTATAGAAATTTAATACTGTAAGTGATTATTTGGCTAGTAATTAATGACTTATTTTGAGTATTAAAATCATTAAAAACAGTACTTTTAATACTCAAAATAAGTAATCAATCACTAGCCAAATAATCACTTACAGTATATTAAATTTCTGTAAAGGTAATATGTATTGTATAAATATATGTAGTATCAATGCTATATACAAATATTATATTATATTATTTTATATTTATCTATTTCATAGGCTTTTCCGAAATAAAAATCAAATTCTAATATAAAGCATGTAAGCCTGGCTGGACGTTGTCGTTATTATTTGAAGGTTTTCTTTTTTTTTATAATTATAAATATTATTTATTATTCGCATATATCAACAAACGTTTTGACTCTCCGTTTGGGTCCTCTTCAGTATTCTTTCGATTTGTAAACAATAATGTCTTCAATCCTAGTATAAGGACTGATTAAAATAATAGGCAAGCGAGAAGAAAAGCAATAAAAATGTATTCATCTTAAAATATTTATTTATATTGTAAAAATATTAATTAAAATATGTTTACCTTAAAATTATTAATTATATGTATTGCATTAAACATATATAACGGATTGCGGATATTTTTTGTTTACAAAGGAACGTTAAAGAGGACCCGAACGAAAGGTCAAAACGTTTGTTGTAATGTATGCGAATAGTAAATAAATATTTTTAATTTTAAAAAAAGAAGATCCTTAAATAATAATGACACCAACTGGCCAGACTTACATGTTTTATATTAATAATTAAATTATATTATTTTTACAGTTCAAAAGTCATTTTTGGATTGCAAGAACAACAGCTTACAAAATAATAGAAATTTATGAATATTCCGGATTCTATCCATTTGATCAGAGTCACGGAGGTAGTAAACCTACCACCGCAGAATTGGATATGTCATATCATTTTTGTGATAATAAGTTAATATTTATTTGTATTGAACTACTACTCATAATTTCTGTGTTAATAGTAATTGAACACTCCATAGGTGTGCTGAGAATAAAGTCTGCCTTAGAGATGTGTCGTAAAGATTTGGAGTATGTCATGCAATAACTTTCAGGCAGAACAATCGAGTGCTTGATTTTTTAATTGATATAACGCTAAAGATCATAAAATTTGGAGACAACAAAGTTTCTGCAAAGATTATTAATATTATTATATGTATATATATAATTCTCTCTTCCTCTCCCTCCCCCTTCACCTCCCCCTCTCCCTATAATAGTCGATAATTGGTACTGCAATGTCTATTGCAATAAACTAAAGATTAACTACAGTTTATATTCTTCTAAAGTTAATCACAGATAATAGTTCATCACAGATGTCGATAGAGAAAAAAAACTAGTGTAGAAAAAAACAAAATTATGTAAGAAACAAACAAAATTATTAACCCTATTTGCTCCAACCATGCCTTTCGTGTCCCACGAATTTCTAACAGTCGTTTGTACCGGAAAACAAATGATCGTGGGAGAATATCCCCTCCACGCCGGAAAAAAGTTATTGTGGCAGGAAACCTCAGGTAAAAATTTCAAAGTCCTAGCTCATTTACTCTCGAAACGGGGAACAATCAAAATCTCGGTGGGACACGAAAGTGCATGGTTGGAGGATTACGTCAGTGTTGTGTGAAAGGTAAATGAGCATTTTTTTCGATAAAAATGTATTTTTGTGTATAATTTAACCGTATTTAAAATATTTTTGTCGTTAAAAAAAAAATTTAACATTCCACAGAGGTCTATTATGGCTCAGAGGCAGGTGGAAGAGGTGGGGAGGAGCTACGATTATATAAAAAAAATTAATTTTTTTACATAAAAAATATCTGTCACACTTCAAATTTGCCTTTTCTTATTCAGAATTTCTTTTTCTAGCATTCTTTAAGTCCTTAAAGTCCTTCTGTGCCATTTAAAAATTACCAAATTTGCGGCGACGAAATTAAGTATTCCTATTTAATTAATAATTATCTCATATTTTTTTTCTCATTTGCACTACTTTTAGCTTTAATTTGCGTTTTGGTTCATTAAGCTTCGTCAATTTGTTCGTGAGTTATGATTTTTTAAGTAAAACGAGTCGTAACGTGTGTTTGTCAACATATAATTGTTGTAAAAAAATATTTAAATAAATGATTTTCAAATGTTCTTTACATTGATTTTTAGTCGAAGGTACAAAGGTATTATAATAATTTTTGGGGAATTTTTCAAAGCTATTAACATTATAAAAAACACGTGGGACTCGAAAGTGCACGGTTGGAGGATTATTGGGGTGAAAAAAACGTTGGAGTGAATAGGGTTAATAAAAAAAACATCTTACGATTGACACTTTCAGTATTTATATATAAGCTGCTTTCCTTTTAATATGAACACAGTCGATACGAGCATTTTTTTATCTTTGTTATTCATTGATGACTATCAGAAATTAAAAGGAAAACAGCCATAGTTAACAGTTCTAATATTACACCTATTACTATATTTGGTTTTTCTTTCTTCTTTGGCTAGTTTTCATTATTTTATTACTCTGTATTCGGTTTGGCGAACTTACGTATCAAGTTTAACTTTTCCCGATGTCGCTCTTTTGCGGCTTTCCTTTTTTCAAAGTCACCATACAAATCAAATACAGAGGCACAATGCGCCATAAAACCGCACTGAGAATAATGGACGTGTTTAGTTGGGAGTGCAAAAAACTTGCACTTTTGGTGCACTCCGGCAGTGTCGCCTGAACTCGACGAGTTTCCAGTGCGCACTCAGTTCTGCCCAGTGAAAAACGCTAATAGAGATATAAGAATAAAGTGCGCGAGTCATATGTTAGCACGTAAGAGGCTGCGATATAGGAATAGAAAAAGAACGCTGCATATAGGCCCTTTCTGTCTTTGTCTACGCGCGCATGCGATCTTTATGTTACCGATTTTTTGGAATAAATTAAAAAAATTAACAAATGAGATCGTTCATAAGTCGAACAATTTTAAGTGAATTATATGATAAGTTGCTACTTTCATATATTATCTGTCAAAACTAATAAATCAGGCATTTCAATTCGTGACTGTCGCGAGCAATTAAGAAAATATTCGCACATTATAAGAAAAAGAGAAAGCGATTAAGAGGATATCCCTGGTAACCATCTCCGATAGAAAACGATAAAAAAATTTCTTATCGTTTTTAATACGGTTAGTGAATCGTTTATTTACGGTACTCTATCAGAAACTCACGTTACAAAATACTTGGAATCCTATCGTAAATATCTTATGAGCTGTATATCAGTTTCTATCGTTTTTAATATAATTAGTGAATCGTTTATTTACGGTATTCTATCAGAAACTCACGTTGCAAAATACTTGGGAGGTGCTTTTCAGGTGCTCCAAAATTAGTACAAAATGCGGATAAATATTATAGCTTGTTAAAGTGTCATAGTAACTATTATAAGAATTTCATGAATAATAAAGAGGTACATGCTGTATATGAAAGGTGCATATTTAGCGGAATTGTGCTCCACACTGCAGCGTACAGTAAAACTATTAAAACCAACGATTCTCTGTAGTACAATTAGACGATGATACAATTATCGAAATATTAAGTTTTATTATTGTAAATAAATGTTGCTTTGTCGTTTGTAAAGTTCTGACAACCATGCCTGCGGTCTAATCAATTAAGAATAAATCATATGTTACAAGTTACTAGCGAAGCACAAGATGAAAAAATAATTCCGATTCAGCTGATAAAACGTAAACTTGTGGTCGTCGAAATGAAATGTGACAAATTTCTTTGTACAATGCCGAACCAATTTGAAACATTATAACTATATATTAATATATCACTTTAATTATCAGTTAAAAAAACAAAATGTATCTGTTCATAATTCTTCATATTTGTACACTTATATAAAATATATTTCTAATAAATTAAGATTAATTACAGACTGGCGTTTAATTTATTATTAAAAATTCCGTGAAAGTTTATCTAACATATAGTTAAAATTATTTTTCATAATTTTCTATAAAAAAGTATCAAAATTGATTCAGCTCTTCTGGCGTAAAAACAGCACGCGTAGAAATTAGTATATTCAACTTAATTTTTCATAAAAATCTATAGCTTTCTGTGAAAAAGTATAAAAAATTGTAGTTATTCATAGTTTTTCATATACCTGAATTATTAGATGTATGAAAATCAAAAAATTTCTATGAATATC